GTTCTTCTTTGTGCACAAATTGATTGTAACAGATTGTATTTTTCAAAGATGTCCGTATCAACATGTCCCATTATACATACACTTATAGTGTGATATTGACTCTTCTCTATCAAAATCTCCCCTTTCCTTGAGTATGGGTTAGTCTTAGAAAACCTCTCCTAATGAATAGAATGGGCTGAAAGTAATTCTGTATGATTTCCAAAGCCAGGCCATGGACTTCCTTGATGGCCCAGTGGTGGAGAATCCACCAGCTAATGCAGGGGACATGGGTTCCACCCCTCGTCCAGCAAGATTCCACATGCTTTGGGGCAGCTAAGCCAATGGGCCACAAATACTGGGCACAGCAGCAGCAGCAGCTACTGAAACTGGCGGGCCCTAGAGTTGCTTCTGCAACAAGAGAAGCAACTGCAATGAGAAGCTCTCACACCACAACCAGAGGTAGCCCCCACTTCCCACAACTAGAGAAAGCTCACACGCAGCAACAAAGACATAGTGAAGTCAAAAATAAATAAATGAAACTAAAAATAGAGCTACCATGCGATCCTGCAATTCCACTCCTGAGCATATATTCAGAGAAAAAATTGATCCAAAAGTATACATGCACCTCAATGTTCATTTCAGCACTGTTTACAATAACCAAGACATGAAAGCAACTTATTAATAAATACTCATCGATGACCAATGGATAAAGAAGATGTGGGACATACATATATACAGTGGAATATTACTCAGTCATTAAAAAATAATGAAATAATGCCATTCACAGCAACATGGATGGACCTAGAGAGTGTCATACTGAGTGAAGTCAGACAGAGAAGGAAAAATATTACATCCCTTATATGTGAGATCTAAAAAGAAATGATACAAATGAATTTACTTACAAAACAAAAAGAGACTCTCAGACTTAGAGAATGAACTTAGTTTGCTGGGGGGAAAGGATAGTTAGGAAGTTTGGGCAGGTCATGAACACACTGCTATATTTAAAATGAATAACCAACAAGGACCTACTGTATAGCACATGGAACTCTGCTCAATGTTATGTGGCAGCCTGGATGGTAGGGGCTGGGGGAGAATGGATACATGTATACATATGGCTGAGCCCCTTCACTGTTCCCCTGAAAATATCACAGCATTGTTAATTGGCTACACCCCAATACAAAATAAAAAGTTCAAAAATAAATAAATAAAAAGCCAGGTCATAAAAGGTGAGACAACTTTCGCTTGGTTTTCCCTCTCTGTTGTGGGACTTCCACACTTGGACCCAATCATCAGATTGTGAGTAAGATGATAGCACATGGGGGCTTCGTATAAGTGTTCTAGCCAGCAGATCCAGCTAAGGTATCAGGCAACATGAACCGTTCAAAAACATGTGGGTGAATGAGACTTCAGATGATTCCAGCTCTGAACCTCAGAGTCTTCCAGCTGCAGCCTCAGACATTGGAACAGAGACAAGCTGCGCCCTCTGTATCTGAACTCTTGGATCACTGGGAGCATAAGAAATGATTGTCTTGTGCCACCAAGTTTGGGGGTAATTTGTTACACAGCTGTAACTGAAACATTGATTGTATAATTTGACTCTCTCACCAGAAACTATGGTATGTGTGTTTTGACGTCCCAATGTCCTGTCTCTGGCAAAGCATGAGAGTATCATGCTCCTGCATTTTTGCCAATCTAATGGGAATGAAATAGCACAACACTTTCATGAAGGCTAAAAAATATGTTGCTTGCATCTTTAGATCCTCAGATGCTAGTACAATGCCTGACACAAGTGGGTTTCCAAAAAAAAAAAATTGAAAGCATAACCAAAACTAATCATGAAGGACAAAATTAGACAAATTCAAACTTAAAGACATTTTGTAAAGTAGTAAGCACATATGCATCAAAACATCACAATCATGAAAGGCAAAGACTGAATTAAAGGAAACACATATTAAAAGAGACTACACAGACCTGACTAGATCCATGGTATGAGCCTAGATAGGATTCTGAAAGAAAAAAACTTTTTCCCTTTGTTGTAAAATATGCTAGTGCAGCAACTGATGAAAGTTGAATAGTCTGAGTATTAGATAATAGTAGAGTTTCAATTCAAATTTTCTGGTTTTGATAAGTATACTTCTTAATCCCTTGTGAAAAGAATGATCTTATTTTTAGGAAGTGTATAGTGAAGTACCTAGGAAAGGGGCAACATGTGTATCATATACTCTCAAACATTCAGAAAAAAAATTATATAGCTGTATATAAATATATGACTAAAAAAACAAATAGAAAAAAATTATAGTTTAGAGAATATAGACAAATGATATACAGGAATTCTTTGTATCATTTTGAAACTGTTCAGTACCTCTAAAATTATTTCAAAATAAAAATTTAAAAAAAATTTTCAGTACAGTCATTTACTACCGGTGCAAATTACTTACCTTTGCAAACAAACAGCACCTCATTTACTAAGATAAAATATTATATTTACTCACTTTCATTTATAGAATCTGCCAAACTCTACTTTGTCTGGCACCCTGCAAATCACCAGCTATAGAAAAGTGAAAAAGACCTGGTCACTGGTATCTTTAAGCTGAGTGGAAAAAACAACCAAGAAAACTGAAATATTCAACAAAGAGTGATTAGTATTAGCTCTCAGTGTGGTTTATATAAACGCACATAAAAAAGGGGCTTTAAAAATTCCTAATACATCATAAAATAAGTCCATCTCCTCTTTGGATGATTACAAGCTTAAAGAAAAGTTTTTTTAGCTCTTTGAAAAAGACATCCTCAAATAGCTCACTTTCTAGCCAGCTCTCAACTTCCTGTCTTTCCGACTGGGATAATGACTTACCACAGCAGCCTGGCACCCCTGGTGTCGTCTCCCTGTATTCAAATTTCCTCTTTTTATAAGAACAGCAGTCACATTGGATTAGGGTCCACTGACCTCAGTATTCTTGCCTGGAGAATCCCATGGACATAGGAGCCTGGTGTGTACAGTCCATGGGGTCGCAAAGAGTCAGGCACAACTGAGTGACTGAACAACAGCCTCAAATGCAGTCACATTCCAAGATGTGTTTCACATTTCTAACAAGTCAGGGCTTGAACATATAAATCTGGGGAGAACACAATTCAGCCTATAACAGCGATTATAAAGAGATGTTTCATCAGAGCTCGCAAGGATCTATGCAATAGTGTTAGGCATCCTTATATTTAGGTCTTTAAATGCAGTTTGACAACTTTTCTGAAGTGAGGATACAATGCACAAAGTTAACTTGTTCCCTGCTCTTATGACAATTGTTAAGTGGTAACTACCTGTGGTTTGGAGGATTTCACAGACAGCAGCTTGTAAAGAAACGCAATAAGGAAAGAACTGATTTTTTAAAGTATCTCCCATTATTTTGGCTAACTGAAGGAATTGCAGGAGTATGTGTGTGTGTGTATGTGTGTGCATGCTCAGTAGTAACACAATGACAGGCTTTCTAGGATGGCTCAGCAGTAAAGAATCTGCCTGCAATGCAGGAGACACATTCCAGACACATCTGGAACTGGAAGATTTCCATGGAAAAGGAAATAGCGACCCACTCCACTATTCTTGACTGGGAAATCCCAAGGGCAGAAGAGTTTGGTGGGTTACAGTCCATGGGGTCACAAAGAGTCAGACAAAATTTAGTGACTAAACAACAACACACAATGACAGAATTGGTCAAACTGGTTGGCAGTAGGATCTTTCTCTAGTTCAATGACCTTGTCTAGAGCCAGATACAAATGTACACAGAAGATCATATGAAATGATTATATGCTGACAGAAGCCAAGTCTAGTCTTTTCAATGATGTAAGCAAGGGTTGTCAAGAAGCAGTCTCATAGCCAAGTGCACTGGCAACTTGTGAAAGCCACCAGCAGCTCAGGCAGAGAAAGCCGTGACTCCACAGCTCTCAGTGAAGGAGGGGGTCTAGGGGATTTCCTCCTTGAGGAGACTCCAGTAGCAGAAAGAGCAATGACAGGGAGGTCAGGACACCCAGGGCCTGGTCTCAGTTGGACACTAACTAGTAGCCACCAGGAGTAGGTCCCTTAACCTCTCTAAGACTCGGGATGCCCTCCTGTAAAAGGCGGGGGTTTCATTTGATCAGGGATGGCCAACAGGTGGCACATAGATCCTGACCTCCCTCGAGCCTTCGGTAGAGACCACTGCTCCATCACATCACTGTTTACGCATTCTTCTACAACATTCTAGGGAGGCATTTCCACTTAGAGTTGGTCCACAAGCTGAAATCTACTATCTTTCCCCTATTAGATGATTTCTGAAGTCCTTTCTAGCTCCTAAATGGAGTGTTCTAACTTTGCAAGTAACAGAGGACCACCTTTTTGACTTAGCAGTAGCTCCATCAAAAAAAAAAGAAAATGGAAATTTAGGGTCATAATTTCATACACTCACCTCTCCCCATCCCAAGATGGAGCAGGGTCTCCTGCTGGGTCACACAGTCTTTCCTTCTGTGTCAGAGATCTTTGTATGTGAGTTTCACCCTCTGTCAGCTCACCCAGCATGACAGTGTCCCAGACTATAGATCCTTACTAGCTATAATCACCCACAATGTAAAACTATATGGGACATCAAGAAACCTACAAGGAGAGGAATTATCTTAGGGCAGTGAAAACCAAAAGAGTTAGAAGAGGTGGTATTTAAGGATTCTCAGCACAGATAACCGCATTCACACTTCTCACCCCTGGCAAGAGAGCAATCACACAAACAGTACCCAAATGGGGGCAGCATCAGGAATTCAGGTGGTTGCAAATGTGTTTTATTGAAAGAAGCAGTGATTTGGTTAACACAGGTCCCATCTCACAATCCACTTCTCACCCCCCCCCAAAACACACGGGGGAAAGACTCAGGCCAGGGGCACAGGTGTGGGTTGGATAGGAGCCCTAACTTGCTTGAGTTATTGCCCTCAGGTCAGGGAATCATGTGGTTATATGTGTGTGCGTGTGTGTGCGTGTGCGTGTGTGTGTGTGTTGGATAAGAATCCTAACTTGAGTTATTGCCCTCAAGCCAGAGAAGCCTGTGCTTGTGTGGAGCTGGCAGTGAGGGTAGGGGGGTGGCAGGTAAGAACACCGAACCATCAAAGTGGACTGGCACATACGGGTTTCCCTCACAAGCCACGGTGATGTATTTCTGCTTCTGGCTAGTCTTGTAGGCACAGTTGGGGTACTTAGAGCTGCCTGTCTCACGGCAGTCTGTGATGTTCATGGTGGAGTTGCTCTGGTAGCAGTTGGGCTGCCCATTCTTGCAGGTGATGTTTTTCTGGGAGCACACGGCCTTGACATTGTCCAGGGACTCGTGCACAAAGGTGTTCACCGGCTTGCATCGTCCATGTGTCATCCTCCGGCGCTTCATCATCTGATTGCAGTAGTTGGAGTTGCCGCTGGAGGAGCTGCCAGAGTCCATGTGCTGCCTCCGGAACTTGGCGGCTGCAGATTCCTTGCCCAGGGAAGGCTGGACCCACACCAGCAGCAGCACCAGGACCAGCAGTGACAACAGGACCAGGGACTTCAGAGCCATGATGACCGCACTCCCCTGGAGAAAGCTGCCAGGGAAAAGGGGCAGAGGAGGGAAAGCATCGCCTTAGAAAGAGAACCCCAGCTCCCACCTGTAGCCTCCCTGGCTTACAGAAAAACCAGAAAGATGTCCCTCTTCCTAAGAGCTTTTCTAGGTAAGGAGACACTCACATATACTCTTCCCACAAATATTTGACTCCCACTCCCTACAGAAGGGTCGTCCTCCACTCTGGGTGATGACCCCAGAAATGACCTAAAATCCTAACAGTCTTGTCTTTGAATACAGAAAGTCTTTTGATATGAAATACATTTGAAAAATAAAATACCTTTATACCCAGCATTCACGTGGCAAGTTAGATGTTCCTTTTGAATAAATCATTAAATAAATAAGCCAGATTTTGAGTAAGACACATTGTATCCTGAAATTGTTGTTGTTGTTCAATTGCTCAGTTGTGTCTGACTCTTTGTGACACCATGGACTGCAGGCTTCTCTGAGATAACTGCCAGTATTCATCCAGGATCACGGCTGACAGAGCCCTGTTGTCCTCCAGCACAAGGGAAAGTCAGTCCCTGTCCTGTGTCTGACACCACACCATAAAGGACACCATAGTATTCCTATGAGAGATTCAAGCCTCCCCCAACCTGGAGGGTTCTCCTTCTCCAGCCCCATGGGCTCTCTGCAGCCTGCATGCTCCATTCCTGACCCCAGCTCTGCTCCCTGCCCATGTGTGCCCAACCCAATTCTTAGGCTAGTCTCACTCACCCTGGATCCTCCCTTCTCAAACCCTCAAGCAGAGTCAGCTCCTAAGACCACTTCTTGAGCTGCTTACCTGGGTCTCTAGCTTGGTCTCTGAAAAAGAAGGCAGTTTCTGCAATCACTCTATCCCAGGGATGTGGAACTTATACAGATGAAAGGGGGCTTGGCTTCCAAGAAGAGCAGGGTGGGTGGAGCATCTTGGTCTCGGTCCACAAGAAAACAAGGTCATGTTAGAAAGGGGTGGGGAATTGCCCAGGGCGCCCTCTTTGGGGGCTACTGGGGAGAGGAAGCCTTTGCCAATAAGGACCTTTCTTTCGATTAATATAAGCAGCAGGGAAAACCACGATAGCACTGATATTCAAACCCCAGTCAAGTCCTTGCTCTGCAGTAAATAGCACTTTGAGTTTAGCTAAAGACACATAACATATGATCATGAGAACAGCTGCTTTGGACAAAATTCCACATCTCTCATCAGCACCTCTTGGGTGGAAGGCTGCATGGAATGGGGAGAGGTGTCCAGCTGCCCCTAGCTGGAAAAGTTCCCAGATCTAGAGAAGGGTGTATTGTTCAGTCACCCAGTCGTGTCTGACTATTTGTGACCCCATGGACTGCAGCATACCAAGTTTTCCTGTCTTCACCATCTCTTGGAGTTTGCTCAAGCTCTTGTCTGTTGAGTCGGTGATGCCATCCAACCATCTCATCCTCTGTCATCCCCTTCTCCTCCTGCCTTCAATCTTTCCCAGATTCAGGGTCTTTTCCAATGAATCAGCTCTTCAAATCAGGTGGCCAAAATATTGGAGTTTCAGCTTCAGCATCAGTCCTTCCAATGAATATTCAGGACTGATTTCCTTTAGGATTGACTGGTTTGATCTTCTTGCAATCCAAGGGACTCTCAAGATTCTTCGCCAGCGTCACAGTTCAAAAGCATCAGTTCTTTGATACTCTGCCTTCTTTATGGTCCAACCCTCACATCCATACATGACTACTGGGAAAACCATGTCTTTGACTATATGGACCTTTGTGAGCAAAGTAACACCTCTGCTTTTTAATATGCTATCTAGGTTTGTCATAGCTTTTCTTCCAAGGAGCAAGTGTCTTTTAATTTCATGACTGCAGTCACCATCTGCAGTGATTTTAGAGCCTAAGAAAACAAAGTCTGTCACTGTTTCCACTTTTTTCCCATATATTTTCCATGAAGTGATGGGACTGGATGCCATGATCTTAGTTTTTTGAATATTGAGTTTTAAGCCAACTTTTTCACTCTCCTCTTATTTATCCTGGCAGTCTTGATTCCACATGAACATGGAGAAGAAAGAAGCTTCTGTATGACCTCACCCAGTTCTGACAACTTCAGCACACCTGGACTGTTGAAGTAGAGTATGTGTCCATTCTTATCTGATGAGCAAAACTCAGCTTCTCTGTACATTAGAGCCAAATCAAATCTCAGAGACAGATTTTTGGGTGAAGTAGAAAAGGATGGCTTTATTGTTTTGCCAGGCAAAGAGGGACATAGCAGGTTCATGCTCTCAAACTGAATGTACCAACGAGGTGAAGATAGTGACATGTTTTATAGTAAAAGAGGTCATGATCAGCTCATGGACATCCTTCCAGTGGGTCGGTGAGTGAGGTAAGTAGGACTCAACATTATCAACCTTCAGGACCAACTGACTGCTCTGGAGTCTACATACTTGTGGGCAGCAAACATACCATCATTTCTTAACTTATCTCACCTGGAGGAGGTTTTAGAATCTGGAGAATAGCTTAAAGATATTGTTGTGTGTTCATGGGGTTCTCAAGGCAAGAATACTGAAGTGGTTTGCCATTCCCTTCTCCAGTGGACCACATTCTGTCAGACCTCTCCACCATGACCCGTCCATCCTGGGTGACCCCACATGGCATGGCTTAGTTTCACTGAGTTAGACAAGGCTATGGTCCATGAGAAAGGAATGGCAAACCACTTCAGTATTCTTGCCTTGAGAACCCCATGAACAGTATGAAAAGGCAAAATGATAGGATACTGAAAGAGGAACTCCCCAGGTTGGTAGGTGCCCAATATGCTACTGGAGATCAGTGAAGAAATAACTTCAGAAAGAATGAAGGGATGGAGCCAAAGCAAAAACAACACCCAGTTGTGGGTGGAACTGGTGACAGAAGCAAGGTCCGATGCTGTAAAGAGCAATATTGCATGAGAACCTGGAATGTTAGGTCCATGAATCAAGGCTAATTGGAAGTGGTCAAACAGGAGATGGCAAGAGTGAATGCCAACATTCTAGGAATCAGCAAACTAAAATGGACTGGAATGGGTGAATTTAACTCAGATGACCATTATATCTACTACTGTGTGCAGGAATTCCTTAGAAGAAATGCAGTAGCTGTCATGGTCAACAAAAGAGTCTGAAATGCACTACTTGGATGCAATCTCAAAAATTACAGAATGATCTCTATTTATTTCCAAGGCAAACCATTCAATATCACGGTAATCCAAGCCTATGCCCCAACCAGTAATGCTGAAAAACCTGAAGTTGAATGGTTCTATGAAGACCTACAAGACCTTTTAGAAATAACACCCAAAACATATGCCCTTTTCATTATAGGGGACTGGAATGCAAAAGTAGGAAGTCAAGAAACACCTGGAGTCACAGGCAAATTTGGTCTTGGAGTATGGAATGAAGCAGGGCAAAGGCTAACAGAGTTTTGCCAAGAGAACACACTGGTCATAGCAAACACCCTCTTCCAACAACACAAGAGAAGACTCTACACATGGACATCACCAGATGGCCAACACCGAAATCAGGTTGATTATATTCTTTGCAGCCAAAGATGGAGAAGCTCTATACAGTCAGCAAAAACAAGACCGGGAGCTGACTGTGGCTCAGATCATGAACTCCTTATTGCCAAATTCAGACTTAAACTGAAGAAAGTAGGGAAAACCGCTAGACCATTCAGGTATGACCTAAACCAAATCCCTTATGACTATACAGTGGAAGTGAGAAATAGATTTAAAGGACTAGATCTGATAGACAGAGTGCCTGATGAACTATGGGTGGAGGTTCGTGACATTGTACAGGAGACAGGGATCAAAACCATCCCCATGGAAAAGAAATGCAAAAAAGCAAAATGGCTGCCTGAGGAGGCCTTATAAATAGCTGTGAAAAGAAGAGAAGTGAAAAGCAAAGGAGAAAAGGAAAGATATTCCCATTTGAATGCAGAATTCCAAAGAATAGCAAGGGGAGATAAGAAACCCTTCCTCAGTGATCAATGCAAAGAAATAGAGGAAAACAACAGAATGGGAAAGACTAGAGATCTCTTCAAGAAAAATTAGAGATACCAGGGGAACATTTCAGGCAAAGATGGGCTCAATAAAGGACAGAAATGGTATGGACCTAAGAGAAGCAGAAGATATTAAGAAGAGGTGGCAAGAATACACAGAAGAACTGTACGAAAAAGATCTTCATGACCCAGATAATCACAATGGTGTGATCACTGACCTAGAGCCAGACATCATGGAGTGTGAAGTCAAGTGGACCTTAGAAAGCATCACTAAGAACAAAGCTAGTGGAGGTGATGGAATTCCAGTTGAGCTATTTCAAATCCTGAAAGATGATGCTGTGAAAATGCTGCACTCAACATGCCAGCAAATTTGGAAGACTCAGCAGCGGCCACAGAACTGGAAAAGGTCAATTTTCATTGCAATCCCAAAGAAAGGCAATGCCAAAGAATGATCAAACTACTGCACAGCTGCACTCATCTCACATGCTAGTAAAGTAATGCTCAAAATTCTCCAAGCCAGGCTTCAGCAATACGTGAACTATGAACTTCCAGATGTTCAAGCTGATTTTCGAAAAGGCAGAGGAACCAGAGATCAAATTGCCAACATCTGCTGGATCATCATAAAATCAAGAGAGTTCCAGAAAAACATCTATTTCTGCTTCATTGGCTATGCCAAAGCCTTTGACTGTGTGAACCACAAAAAACTGTGGAAAATTCTTCAAGAGATGGGAAAACCAGACCATCTGACCTGCCTCTTGAGAAACCTATATGCAGGTCAGGAAGCAACTGTTAGAACTGGACATGGAACAACAGACTGGTTCCAAATAGGGAAAGGAGTACGTCAAGGCTGTATATTGTCACCCTGTTTATTTAACTTCTATGCAGAGTACATCATGAGAAACGCTGGGCTGGAAGAAGCACAAGCTGGAATCAAGATTGCCAGGAGAAATATCAATAACCTCAGATATGCAGATGAC